AATAATCCAACACATTTAGAGAATAATGTTATTTTCTACTACATTTCTCAATCCTTTTACAAGTTAATTTACCAAATCAGACTCTCTAAGTAAACATTTTCTTGCCTATAATATTAATAGCATTAATTACTAAAATTTCCAGGTGCCTCCTTTCCGACTTTGGGCCCCAGCAGCAATGACTCTCAGTCAATGCTGCCCCAGCTCCCGAGGAAATGGCAGCAGAGGGCTACCTCTAGCTCTGGCCTATATCAGGCCATCAATTTTTTAGTACTGGAAGGAGATCAAAATTGCTTTTAGGTAGTATTTTTTTTTTTTTTTTTAACAATTTTTGCTATAGGTCACATATGGTTGCCAGAGACAGACAGAAATGGGGGGCTGGGAAACAGGGGGAATGAGAAAGCATCTCCCAGGGGAAATGGCCATGCCACAGTCTCTTCTCCTCCACTCTCCTCTTGGGATTTTCAGCACATGCACATATGCAACCAGTGTGATTTTCAGGCCAACAGGTCTAGGACTGGAACCATGGTCAGCCACGTAGGAATCCAGAACCACACACCACCACCTGGTGGTCCCATGAACTTTAAATTATTTTAGAAGAATTATTTAATCTTATTTATTACTATTTAAGAGAATTATTTGGGACCAGCAGTTAGCATAATGGCTATGTCACTGGACTCCTATGGAGTTGACCGAGGTTCAAGTCCCGGACCCGGTGGCTTAAACTCATGCCAGGTACGTGTGCATGCATGCCCAAGATCTCCAGAGGAGAGTGGAGAAGGAACTGTGGTGTGGCCATACCCCCTGGGGGGTGATTTCTCGCTTTCTGTTTCTCTGTCTCTCTGTGTCTTTCTGGCGAGTGCACGCGCCCTATAGCAAAAACCTCTTCAAAAAAAAAAGGGGGGGGGAATTATTTAATTTTATTTATTCATTCATTTATCTTAGTTTGACCAGAGAAAGACAGAAACACAGAGAGAAGGAAAGTGAGAAAGCAAGCCACCAGGTCCAGAATTTGAACCATGGTTGGCCATGTGGTAATGTCCAGTGCCTTAACCACCACCCACCTGCTAGTCCCTTATTATTATTTTTTAATTTGATCAGAGGGAGAGACGGAAATTGAGAAAGCAAGCTGCCAGGTCCAGGACTCAAACTGTGGCCAGCACTTTAACAACCACATCACCTGCTGGCCCCAGTGAACTTTTAAATTTTTATATAATTTTAAGTTATAAATCATTTTATAAGATTTCTACTTTTCTTTTATCATTTATACAGTATGTATAAAATTAACTCTTTGAGGCAAAATTTTCGGCTTTAAAGTAGAATTTTTTGAATGGTGTCATTGAGGGGCCAGTAGGTGGTGTGGTGGATTCCCACATGGCTGGCTGTGTTTCGAGTCCTGGACCTGGTGGCTTGCTTTCTTACTTTCTCGCTATCTCTCTAGGCAATTTAAAATAAATAAATAAATGAAATGAAATAATAATTCTTTAAAAATGAAAAACAGAAACAATCATATTGAGTTAGGGGCCATAAGTGGCATGGTGGTTAAGATGCTAGACTCCCATGCGGCCCATGACAGCTTAAGTCCCAGACCAGGTGGCTTATACCTCACAGCAGGCAGATGTGCCCAAAATCCAAGAGGAGAACAGAGAAGAAAGGATTGTGGCATGGCAATCTCCCTCCTCAGGAGGTAATGTTTCATTTTTCCTCTTATTGTCTCTTTCTAGCAAGCACATGTGCCCTATGACAACACCAGAAAAAAGAAAAAAGAAAAAAGAAAACTATACTGGGTGATAAAAACAAATGACAACACATTGCTCTTAATTTCCATAAAATTAAACATTAAATGTCTCAACATTTAATCTTTTCACAGCTTTTCAAACAATTACTTTATCACAGCAGAAAGTATAAAGGCTTTAGAAAGTATATCAACAGAACAAAGTCTGAGTCTGAGCTTGATAAATAAATACATCTGGAATAGTAAATACTGTGTGGAAATAGTTCATACAAGTCATTTCAGCTCCATTTGGTTCAATGAAGATTTATGAAATCCCAGGTATTGTGCCGAGAGTACAAAGAGAAATGAGACATATCCGCCCTGGAGAAGGCTATAATGTGGTTGGGGAGAGAAGCATACACATAGATTACTTCAATTTAATAACAGCAAGTGCTAAAAGAGTCATTTCCAGTAACAGTTAGAAACAAGATTAGAGAATAAGGAAGGGGTCAAGATAAAGAAAATACAACAGAGGGCACTGCACCAGGATCACTAATTTGGATCCAAATTCCTAAACTGAAAACTCTATGCAACTCTATGATAAGCAGTGGTTCACCTAATCTAAGCAAAATGTGATGATTCTTAGTACCTATACAGAGAGGATAATGAGAAATCAAAAGTATTAAAATAAACGTTCACATTCTGAAACATTACTAGTACATAGTGAAGCAACATATGCAGTAACAAAGTAGTCACTGAAACTATATCAATTCATAAAGGAAGGGAATAGCTGTCCTGACTCTTAGTGTGAAGTATGAAATACTGTGTGTTAGAGGAAATTATTTGGTATGACATCCAAAAAAGCACTCTTTTCATTCAATAACATTTTTACCTGAAAATTTTAAAAATTAATATGACTCACAACCAGAAGATGGAACAATGGTTTCGTCGCTGGACTCCACGTAGTTGACCATGGTTTGAGCCCCAGATCTGGCAGTTTAAAACTCACACAGGGTACATAGGCTCACATGCCCAAGATTCCAGGAGGAGAATGGAGGAGAAGGGATTGTGGCATAATGATCCCTCCTAAGAGGTGATTTCTTGCTTTCCTTCTCTTTGTCTGTCTGTCTCTCTCCAGTAAGTGTTTGCACAGCAAGTGCATGCAGCCTGTAGCACATTAAAATAAATGACCCAGGATTCCAAGCAATGGTAAGCACAATTCATTGATGAAATGTTCATTTTCCTCTTTGATCAAGAAGCCTATTACAGATAGAATTTGGCTAGATAATACTTAGTGTGAACTAGCTCACATCTCTTGAATATCAAAATTAGACTTTATTGAAATTTTTACATTTAAATTATTTTAAACTGCTACATGTAAAAAAATTAGATTAAAATTTTCTCTGGCCATCTAATCTATAAGATCCAAAGTGCATGTCAACCTTCTCTGTGTATTTTTCTTTAAATTAATAGCACTTATGTAGCTATTTCATTTCTTCATAACATATACACATGACTCCCATATTTTAGATTTGCATATTTAACACATTTAGTTAGTAGTCAATAGTTAACAATAATTTTATTTCTACATAGCTCTCAATATTGAGATAATTTCTAAGGTCAGTGTTTTTTTTTTTTTTTTTTTTTCCCTTACTAGAGAATGTGTGCACTTGCCAGAAAGAAAGAGAGAAATGGGGGAACCAGCAGTTAGCATAATGGCTATGTCGCTGGACTCCCATATAGTCGACCGCGGTTCGTGTCCCAGACCCGGTGGCTTAAAATTCACGCCGGGCGCGTGTGCGTACGTGCCCAAGATCCCGAGAGGAGAATGGAGAAGGGATTGTGGCGTGACCATCCCCACTGGGGGGTGATTTCTTGCTTTCTGTCTCTATGTCTCTCTCTGTCTGTCTGGCGACTGCACGTGCCCTATAGCGAAAACTTCTCAAAAAAAAAAAAAAAAAAGAGAGAGAGAGAGAGAAATGGGGGGACCGAGAAATGGAGGGACCAGCAGTTGGTGTGATGGCTATATCGCTGGACTCTCAGGTAGTCAACCGCGGTTTCAGTCCCAGACCCAGTGGCTTAAACTCACACTAGGCGTGTGTGCTTGTGTGCCCAAAATTCCGAGAGGAGAACGGAGAAGGGACTGCGGCAAGGCCATCGCCCCGGGGGGTGATTTTTCACTTTCTGTTTCTCTGTCTCTCTCTGTCTTTCTGGCGAGCATGCGTGCCCTATAGCAAAAACTCTCCAAAAACAAAAACGAAAACAGAGAAATGGAGTGACAGGAGAGGAGAAACAGAGAAACAGAGGTGAGAGAGAGGAGAATGCTTACATCACAACCCCTTCTGTCTTTTCCTCCTTTAAGGATTTTTGGGCACCCACATACACACATACTCGGTGTGTTTGTCAAGCCACCAGGTCCAGGGCTTGAACCATAGGGTCAACAATGTGGAATTAGCTGTCTTAACCAATAGGCCACAGAGCTAGCCCTAGGATCAGTTTTTAACAGAAGCAAGATAAAAGTGAGAACAGGGCCCAGCAGGTGGTGTGGTGGTTAAGGGCGCCAGACTCTCACATGGCCGACCATGGTTCAAGTCCTGGACCTGGCAGCTTGCTTTCGTACTTTCCTTCTCTCTCTCTCTGTCCCTCTTTGGTCAAACTTAAATAAATAATTAAAGTTAAATAAAATAATTCTTTTTAAAAAAGGCGAGAACAGTCATTCTTTGTCTCAGATCTGTTTGCTTTTTAAACTACATGGTCATTTTTAATTTCTTGATTACAAAGACACTGTTTGCCCATTGCTGACTATTCACAGACCATGGACCACTATTTATTCTGAAGTAGAATCCACCCATAAAGGTAAGCAGGACAAGAGTAGAGGGGAAATATTTTAGAATCACCTGGAGGATTTTTCTAAAATGTACCCTGTCATCGCAATCACTGAAGGCCAATCCTTGTGAGATGTGTTGTATAGCTAACGAGACTGCAATCAAGGTTTAGCTAGGACTGAATTTAGAAGCTACTCTCAGAAGTCCTGCTAAAAAGAATCTGAGGAGGAGTAGTAAGGCCAAACATACAGGGCTTCTAAAGACACTTATGTCCAGAGGCTCAGACTGTCAGCTAGACCTGTAGCAAGAAACCAAAGGAAGGAAATTATTTCCATCACATCTATGTGTAAGTAGTGCACGTTCAATTGCTTACCTCCAATATTCTGAATTATTATAGTGCCTGCCACCACCACCTATAAAAGAACAGATATATTCAGGAGATAAAAGTGTAAATAATATAAGAGAATCAGCATTTTATTTAAATGTAATAATTATTACTAAAAATCAAATGCAGACGCCTTAAGTGAAATGGAAAGAAATTTTGCCAACCATGTGTAATATATAAAGTTAATAATCATCTTATTAATACCTTTTCTTTAGTAATTCCATAGTTACCATAAAGAACATTTTTGAATGCTTTGGGTATTTTTCTTGGCAGCCATTTTAGGAGAGTTAAAAGTATTAAGAGCTAGTAAACAGTTACTTTCAAAGTATAAAAGATTGGCCCAGCAGGTGGCATGGAGGTTAAGGCAGCTGGGTGTCACATGGCCAACAGCACAGTATGAATCCTGGACTCTAAAGCTAGAAAATCACGCTGGCACCAGTAGATGACGTAAAAGATGACAAAAAAAGAAATGGTGTAGTCTGAGTATATCAGATTGGCATACACCAAGCCTCTGCATATCCCAGTTCCAGGGGTTAATAATGTCTAGAGCAGAAAACTCTAGAGCCCAAACATTCTCAGACTCTGAAAATGCAGGCAAAATGTTTCAAACTCAGTAATGTGAAGAAAGCTGAGTACAGAACAATAGGAAGAGTCAAGGACTACAGTATTTTGGAGAACTCCTCACCGTTCAAATGGGGCAGCTGCTGCTCAGCTCTGACCAATAGATGGCACAGAGCAATGTGGATCCATGTAGGAGGATCTTCTGATTAAAAAAAAAAAAAATCCAAACTTTCATGACTCTTAGCTGGTAACCAGTTCAAAACCAAAAATATTTGAGCCAAACAAAATATGCCTGAGGACTAAACTGCAGGCTTGCTAGCTTATTATCTTTGATTACAGTCTTGAGAAGCTCAGTGCAGCACTTTGTCCTTTCTTGGTAGTGGGATGTTCTCAGAGCATATAGCTAAACACTGTGCTTCCACTGGCCTTTTAATCACTCAGATCTTGGTGGGTCGATTGGGGTTGACCAGCCTTACATTACAGCATCATCACAGTTTCACAGACTGGGTAGAGATCACCCTTCAGATTCGTTTCCCCTTGAAACTCCATCAGTGACACAGCATCTGCCTGTACTGGAAATGATCCAAGTTATGGAATCTAGTAGCCCAAGTGTCTGTAGAGGAGGGTTAATGTCAATGTGGCAAAGAGTATGGAGATGTGGTGATCGCCACCCCAAAGTATTCCAGAAAAAAATTTCACACTTAAAACCCACTTAAAAATTAGTTCCAAAATGTCAATTATTTTGTGAAAAGACTATTTTGAACTGTAATACACTATCTTTGGTGTAAATGACATGCAATATCAGTCAGACATAACATTTGGATTATTTTTTTCTATTATTACAAAAAGGGAACCAGCAGGTGGCATAGTGGTTAGGACTGCTGTACTCCAACATGGCCCACTGTGGTTTAAGTCCCAGACCTCGTGATTCGCTTTCTCACTTTCCCTCACTCTCTCTCTTACTCTGTCCCTCTCTGGTCAAATTTTAAAAATAATAATGGGGGGATCAGCAGTTGGCGTAATGGCTATGTCACTGGACTCCCATGTAGTCGACCACGGTTCGAGGCTTGAACCTGGTGGCTTAAACTCACACCAGGCACATGTGTGTGTGTGCCCAAGATTCCGAGAGGAGAATGGAGGAGAAGGGATTGTACCATGGCCATCACCCCTAGGGGGTGATTTCTCGCTTTCTGTCTGTCTGTCTGTCTCTGTCTTTCTGGTGAGCACACATGCCCTAGAGCAAAAACCTCTCAGTGCCTAGCACAGTGCATGGCACATCTGCTCAATAAATATGTTTGGTAAAAAAGTAGATCAACTTATAGACAATCTATAAAAAAAGCTTTCTTGGGGCTGACTCTCTGGTCCAACCATAATGTGCTGTTCAAGAAAAGCCAGATCCCACATGGAACATGCTGTTTGAAGCCCCAGCCCAGTTAACTGGAAACACACCAGGCATGCACATGAGTGGCCAAGATCTCACAGGCCAGAGGATTCCAGCAAGGGGACTGCAGTGTAACCACATACGGAGGCATTCCTCTCTGTTTATTTCTCACATGTGTGTGCATGCACTCTGTCATGAGTAAAGAAAAATATTTTTTAAATCTTCCTTAAAAAGTGCAAAAATTTTAAAAGTATTTCCTTGATTCTCAAAGCAATATTACTATATGTCATAATCATATTATAAATGGGCAGAAGAAGTAGAAAAGTTTTAATCCAACTATGGAAGTGGGGAGAAATATAAACAATTACTCCTCTTCATTCAGAATATGCTCTGCTTAGTGTAGCTGCCTATGTGGAATTGGAATGTATATATTAAAATAATCTAGAAATTATAGTTGTAGGAAAAGATGATCAACAACCCATACTCCTAGACTCTGCTGCTGTACGAGGGATGCAGGAAATACTATTTTAAGATGACAGTGTTGTCACTGATGCTACTTAAAGAGTGGTATTTATGATAATAATAAACTAATTAGAGACTTCTCTTATACAGATCACATTTTCCTCCTTTGTTTAACTATTAGAGATGTAAGAAATTAATCACAGATTCCATGGATCACCCTGTTCTCTAGGAAAAATAACTGTTAGAAGGAATAATTCATAAACCCCTTCACCCTAAAGTAACATATTCTTGGGACCAGCAGATGGCGTAATGGTTATGTCACTGGACTCCCACAGTCGACCATGGTTCAAATCCTGGACCCAGCAGCTTAAACTCACACCAGGTGTGCATGTATGTGTGCCCCAAATTCCGAGAGGACAATGGAGGAGAAGGGATTTTGGTGTGGCCGTCTCCACTGGGGGGTGATTTCTCACTTTCTGTCTCTTTCTCTGGTGAACACACATGCCCTATGGCAAAACTCTCTCTTTAAAAAAATAAAGTAACATATTCTCTGTTTTGTTCAAGTTTCAGATTATTAAGGTTCAAGCCAAGAAGCTACACAGTGTGTGACTTAATCATTTCCTTTATGATGCTTTGAGTAGCCAGAAACTTAAGTTCTTCTTCTCTTTTTTTTTTTTTTTTTTTTGAGAGGTTTTCGCTATAGGGCACGTGCGCTCGCCAGACAGAGAGAAACAAAGAGATAAAAAGCGAGAAATCACCGCCCCCCCCCCAGGGGGGATGGCCACGCCGCAATCCCTTCTCCTCCATTCTCCTCTCGGGATCTTGGGCACACACGCACACACGCCTGGCATGAGTTCTAAGCCACCAGGTCCGGGACATGAACCCCGGTCGACTACGTGGGAATCCAGCGACATAGCCATTACACTAACTACTGGTTCCCAGAAACTTAAGTTCTTGTATAAGGAGCAAAATTTAGAAATGAAACTACTATTAGAAAAGATAATAAGACATATCCAAGGGATGTCATCTGCACATAAAAGGATTTTCTATAGGAGTGAACATAGTTAATGTACTAGGAGCAGTCACTATAGATCTACAGAAGACAATCTTGATTTAAGCAACACTGTGGGCTTAAGTCGAGAATTCATTATGTTCCAGGCAGGCCTAAACAGGCTGTAGCACAGCTTACATGTTCAATAAATAAAAGATGAGTCCTACAGAAATCTAGAAAAATTAAACAATAAAAAAATTTCCTTCAAAAACAAAGTTAATTGGAATTTAAATACAGGGTATTCTCCTGATTTTTTAGCTATGCTTTTCCTCTAATAATCTTAGAAGTTAAGTCTTTTACAAATATAGTATTATTTTAGAGTAAAAACAAAACCAAAAAATGATGAACATGTGAGGTAATCCATTTGTTAACTAGTTCAATCTAGCCCTTCCACAATGTAAACATATTTCAAAACAACATGTTGTACAAGATAAATTATATGATTTTTGTCAATTAAAAAATAATTACACAAACAAAAATCCCCACCAAAAGATTTACAAACAAAAAGAAAAGTTTTTCTGGAACCAAAATGAATGTGGGTTTTAGAAGTATGGTAGCTCTTAAGGAAAAAAAAAATACTATAGCACTAATAGTAATGTTTAACTTTTGATCTTGTAGAAAAAGACACTATTTCCCCTATCTCTTAAGTCACTAACTTTATATAATTGTTGACAAATAGGTGCCTTTCTCTAGTCTTTAATCTCCTTTATAAATGAGGATACAGGTAATCTTATAGCACTGCTAAACTCTTAAATGACATCTAATTATTGGTTTCTAAATTGCCATGGTATAATTTTAATTCTATACTGCTTTCTTCTCCTGACTTTATGAGGATTTACTCAGAGAATATAATCAAAATTAATGGGCCAGTCCAATGGCATGGTGGTTAAGGCAGCTGGATACCACATGCCAAGTGCATATAGTTTGAATCCTGGAACCAGCAGCTTGAAAAAACACATTAGGCACATGTATGTGCATGCCCAAAATACTGAGAAGAGAGGGCACTGTGGTGTGGCCATGCCCCCTCAGGTGGGGTTGCTTTCTCACCCTCCCCATCTCTATCTCTGGTTAGTATGCATGCCCTATAGCAAGAATTTATTTTTTAAGAATTATTTTATTTAACTTGATATATTTATGTATTTATTTTTAAAATTTGATCAGAGAGGGACAGAGAGAGAAAGAGAGAAAGGAAAGCAAGCCACCAGGTTTGGGGCTTGAACCGTGGTCGGCCATGTGAGTCCAGCACCCTCAACCACCACGTCACCTGTTGACCCTGCAAGAATTTATTTTTAATTTACTAAGAGAAACTTAAAAAAAGGTATTGTTACTATTTCAAAATTCTCCAATCATAGGTCCTCATTAGGATAAAATATACTGAAATATTTCATTATTATATTAAGTTTATTGATGCATTTTTAGAAAGGGAACCTGGAGAGATTTCTTCCTGCGCACATTAGTCTGTATTTTCTCACATTAGTTTCCTTTTATTCCCCAAATGTTTTTCTTTTTTATATATTTGTGTCTTTTAGCTTGAAACAGAAGGAATAAAATGTCCCCTCCTTTTTAAAAGTTCATTTCTTTCATAAGAGTGAGAGGGGTAACCCCGACGGGGTCTTCATGCCCCCATCACTCCCAGTCCCAGATCGTGGGTACCAGTGCAAGTGCACATAGGACAGGATGTACAGTGAGGCCTTGGGATGCAAGCCTGGGACCTTCTTGTGTGGGCCCTGCATTGCAGATCACTGCACTGCTGCTGCACTACTACCTGGCTCCCCTCTTTAGCTTTTGAACACAATGAGAAAAAAAAAAAAATTACCTTTCCAGGTAATCCAAATGCAAAGAGTCCAAGATCTTCATAAGATGTTACAGCTGTTAAAAGAAATGATCATTTTCACTTTTCACACAAAATTATTTGTGACCAAATCTTAAAAGGAAGAAAGTTATCCCACTACTATAAACTAAGCCCAGTATAATTCTTACAATTCAGGTCAATTGACGGGACACAGGGACTAGCAGATGGTATAATGTTTTTGCCACTGACTCCTACATAGTTGACCGCAGTTGAGTCCCAGACCCAGCGGCTTCAAACTCACAACAAGCACTTGTGCTTGTGTGCCCAAAATTCCAAGAGGAGAATGGAGGAGAAGGGATTGCAGTGAGGCCATCTTCCATAGGGGTGATATCTCACTTTCTGTCTCTGTCTCTCTTTCTCTCTGGCGAACACATACATCCTATAGCAAAAATGTCTTTTTAAACAAACACAAAAAAAGACTAAACACAAATGGGACCAGCAGATCACATAATAGTTACATTACTGGACTCCCTCATGGCCAACAGCAGTTCAAGTCCCAGACCCAGCAGCTTGAAAGTCACACAGGGTACATGTGCATAAGTGCCCCAAATACCAAGACAACAATGAAGAAGGGATTGCAGCACAGCCATCCCCCCACAGAGGGATTTTTTGCTTTCTGTCTGTCTTTCCAGTGAGTGCACTTGCCCTACAGAAAAAAATATCTCTAAAAACAGAAAGACTAGGGACCATCAGTTAGCGTAATGGCTATGTTGCTGGATTCCCATGTAGTCGACCGCAGTTCAAGTCTCGGACCCAGTGGCTTGAACTCATGCCGTGTGCGTGAGCGCCCAGGATCCCAAGAGAAGAATGGAGGAGAAGGGATTGTGGTGTGGCCATCCCCCCTGGGGGGTGATTTCTCGCTTTCTGTCTTTCTGTCTCTGGCTGTGTCTCTGGCAAGCACATGTGTCCTATAGCAAAAACCTCTCCAAAAAAGAAAAAAAAAAAAAGACTAGACACAAGTATGAGAAAAGAAAATTCTCCTTAATATCCTTTAATAAAGATGATAAGAAAGAAAGGACTTTCCTAGGTATTTTATGTAAAGGTCTCCGATGATTCTCTTCACCAAATCTTTCATTTTTGCCCCAAAACATTGTCCACAATGCTTATGACTTTCAGATGTATCTATAGAACATGTCTTTTTTCTTTCTTTTTTTACTACTCAGTAGTGATGTTTGTTATTTCCAAAGAATCACCAAGGAATCCAGCATATGGCATGTTGTTTAAGGCAGCTGGATTCCACAGGGCTGACTCCAGGGTTCAAATCCTGGACCTGCACCTGCATGTGTGCTTAAAATTCTGAGAGAAAAGTGAAGGAGAGGGGATTGCAGTCTGACCTTTCCCTCCACACACCCCCGCCAGGGGTGATTTCGCACTCCCATTCCCCATCTGACCCTCTCTGATAAGCACACATGGCAAAACTAAAAAAAAAAGAAAGAAAGAAAAAATAATCACCAAGGCTTCCTTTTATTATCTTTCTTTAATATCTAAATAAAGATTTTGTCAAGAAAGATTTTGTCTCTCAAACTGCATATATTAGTAATTATTTCCTGGTTTTAGAAAGCAAAAGTTTCTGATCAATATAAGGTAACCACAGTCAGCACACAGAATTAGTGTAATTTTGGTGACCAATTAAACAATCATCTACCCATCTAACAGCTGTTTTTATTTTAAGTTAATCTGTGTAGACTGATCATGAGTACATTTGTGATTTCTCCCAGATATTTTGAAATGTCAGAAATAGCTCAAATGCTCCCAATACTAATTTTACAAACTCCCTATACTTTAGATCTACCTCCCTTATAGCTACTGGTTGTTCAGGTTAAATTTAAAGGAGAAATAACCGCTTTTGAAGGAAACTTTTGAAAACTTATGACTGTAAGGATAGCATTCTCCTAGAATAGGTAGAGCTTAGCAGATTCTAAGGATGCCTAACAATCACCCAGACTGGATTAATCCAAATGGAGTAAGCACTGAAGAGCAGCAACCTCATTTCTCACTAAACAGTACTTGCATACACTGTCCACATGGAAGTTCCTTTACAACGGCTTCTGAAAACAGGAGATGTAAATAGAGAAAGTAGAAAAGTTGTATCATACTTTCTGAGATACTCACTTTTCCAGGTGCCTAGGATGATAATGAGTTCACAATAAAAACAATACTTTCATCTCATAATTAGTAGGGCAAATACTTTTCATCGTAAAACAGCATTAAATTACATTCTCATTTCACGTTTAGTAAGTGTGGTCATACAATAGATGAAAATTAACTGACTCATAAAAGAACTGAATTATGTCCTCAGCCTATATAGCTTCATGTTTTAACTAGCATTGCCACTATCTGTGTGAAGGGGTACTTTGAAAAGTGCTTAGCCTCTAGTGCGAACACAACACAGGCTGCAGATACTAAGCTTGGTAAGCAATACACCTCTTATCGAGGTATGATTTATCATTTCTTAATGCATTTTTTCTTTTGGACTGTGTAAACATTTGGGATCAAAATTTATTCAGCATATGCTAGCATGCTATGAAGAACCGGAAATAAATTATTCTGACTCCTTACTTGGCAAGATAGGTGAGGCTACAGAATCTAATTATTTTGCAAATTATTTAAGTTGTGGACCACAGCTAGGAGATTATCATGTAACTGAAGATTGCCACCTGGAATGGCCTGTGAGTCTTTCCTGGGATTCCCTTTCAGAATTACAAGAAAACAAAGTAATAAATCCCCATGTTTATTTCTAAGATAAACTTCAGTGCAATACACTCAACAAATTGTATCACACACTTTATATTTCAAGAAATTAGGATTTCCATCTTAACCTAAATTTCACATATTCACATTTTTTTGTTAATGCAGTTTTAATCTATCTTTTCAAGATATACAGTGATTTTCTTTCAGTTGCCACTATATTAACAAAACCTTTCTTGTACTTCATAACTAAAGACTTCCAGGTTTGTAAATTTAAGAATTTAGAAAGACCAGCAGATGGCATTGCTGGACTCCCACAAAGCTGACCATGGTTTGAGTCCTGGACCTGGTGGCTTAAAACTCAAACCAGATACGTGTGTGTGCATGCCCAAAGTCCCAAAAAGAGAGTGGAGCAGAAGGGATTACGGCATGGCCATGCCCCCTGGTGGGTGATTTCTCACTTTCTGTCTGTCTCTCTGGTAAGTGCGTATGCCCTAGAGCAAAAATCTCTCTTAAAAAAAAAAAATGTAGAAAACCATATATGGTCCTTCTATGTTATAACTATCAAGTCAGGAAAAAAAAAAAGGAAATCTGAAAAAATAAGGAATTTTACAAATTAAGAATACACCTTTATTATCAGAGTTGATCAAAGAACTTGGAAACTTTCTGGATGATACCGGTATTTTTTTTAAATGTATTTACATACTGCTAAATAGTGCACAAGAGCAATTTGGCTTTTAATTTGAGATATATAATTTGGTTATAATTAGAAATCTTTAAGCTTTTTTTGTAGGTTTTTAAAAGTGTGACTATATATACATATAACATAAAATTAACCATTTTCACCACTTTTAAGCGTACAGGTCAGTGGAATTAAGTACATTGGTGCTGTTGAGCAATCATCGCCACCATCCATTCACAGAACTCTTTTCATGTTGCAAAACTGAAATTCAGCATCCATTAAACAAGAGCTCCCACCCTCTACTCCCTCATCCCCTGGAAACAGCATTTGACTTTCTGTCTCTATGAATTTGACTACTCTAGGTGCCTCGTATAAATAGAACCTTTACATCTTAATAATAAAAGACTTTGATGATCATTTTATGGGAGGTATATTTTAGATATGTTTCAGAACATAAAATTAAAATGAAGAGTTACAAATCTAAGAAGAGAAATTTTTTTCTATGTGAAATGCCAACATCCTTTTTTAAGTACACATCTTATAGAGTAAATGTCATCACAAAAGTTAATAATTACTTTACTCAATATATACTTACTATTTTAATATTCTTTAATTTAACTGCTATTATATGTGGGCATGCTTTCTTAAATTTAACAGTTCAAAGTTTGGGTATACGTATTATACCAGAAAAGCTGTCTGAATATAAACGTCTATCTAATTTGACAACTGAGGTTATTTTGTTATATACAAGGGGTTTTAAAAAGTTCATGGAAAATGCATGATATGAAAAAACCCATGTATAAACTTAAAAATATTTTTGTACCAAAATAAACTTACACTGAAATTAATCTCCATGAACTTTCTCAAATTCCCTTGAATTATGTTATGTGAATCAAGTCTCCAGAGAATCTCTAATATGTCATTCTGAGGCATGATATTAAAGAAACATTATTCTTTAGTTAAATGTGTCTATTATTTTTTGTTTGTTTGTTTTTAAAGTCTCTTTCCTTCTTTTATGGTGATGGTGGGAGACAGGTACTCCTGACAGTGCCTTGTTATACCAGCCAGGATCGTAGGTGTCCACAGGCATGCCTAGCATGCTCTGGGATCCGAACGTGAGCCTTCCATGAGGCTTCAGTGTCCGACAATAGTGCTTTACCACCCGTGCACTCCCAGAGACAGAGAGGAGGGCAGAAAGCACCCCTCCCCAATGAGGTGTGGCCATGCTGCAATCTCTTCATTTCTCCATCCTGTTGGGATCTGGGGCATGCACACACACATCTGAAGCATGTTTTTCAAACTGCCAGGGTCAGGATTTGAGCCAGGCAGTCTACCATGTGGGATCCGGCCCCCTTAACCACTTAGGCTACAAGGCCAGTTCCCATCTATTCCTTCTACAGAAAACCTTTCCTTTCAAGAGTTTAAAGTAGGCTTTCCGAGCGTCACATATGGAAATATATCAAATATCTGCTTTTTAAATGATCTAATTTGCACCAGTTTCTCAGTCAATATGCAAGTTATCAAAGTAATACTTATCAAAAGTTAAACTATAGTATGTTTTATTTTATTTATTTATTTTTTTGGAGAGGTTTTTGCTATAGGGTGCATGTGTTCGCCAAAAAGACAGAGAGAGAGAGAGAGATAGAA